AAGATGATGCTGTGGAAGTGTTGCACTCAATATGCCAACAAACTTGGAAAACTCAGCAGTGGCCACAGGACTGGAAAAGGTCAGTTGTCATTCCAATCCCAAAGAAAGACAATGCCAAAGAATGCTCAAACTACCACACAATTGCACTCACCTCACACACTAGTAAAGTAATGCTCAAAATTCTCCAACCAAGGCTTCAACAGTTTGTGAACTGTGAACTTCCAGATGTCCAAACTGAATTTAGAAAAGGTAGAGGAACCAGAGATCAAATTGCCAACATCCGTTGGATCATCAAAAAAGCAAGAGAGATGCAGAAAAACATCTACTTCTGCTTTATTGACTATGCCAAATGCTTTGACAGTGTGGATCACAATAAACTGTGGAATATTCTTAAAGAGATGGGAATAGCAGACCATCCAATCTGCATCATGAGAAATCTGTATGCAGGTCAGGAAACAACAGTTAGAACTGGACATCAAACAACAGACTGGTTCCAAATTGGGAATGGAGTACGTCAAGGCTGTATATTGTCACCCTGCTTATTTAACTTATATGCAGAGTACATCGTGAGAAAGCCTAGGCTGGAGGAAGCACAAGCTGGAATCAAGATTGCCGGGAGAAATATCAATAACCTCAGATATGCAGATGACACCACCATTATGGCAGAAAATGAAGAACTAAAGAGCCTCTTGATGAAAGTGAAAGAGGAGAGCGAAAAAGTTGGCTTAAAACTCAACATTCAGAAAACTAAGATCATGACATCCGGTCCCATCACTTCATGGCAAATAGATGGGGAAACAGTGGAAACAGTGGCTGACTTTATTTTGGGGCGCTCCAAAATCACTGCAATGGGACTGCATCCATGAAATTAAAAGACACTTTCTCCTTGGGAGGAAAGTTGTGACCAATCTAGACATCAAATTAAAAAGCAGAGACATTACTTTGCCATCAAAGGTCCATCTAGTCAAAGCTATGAGATTTGGACTGTGAGAAGCTGAGTGCCAAAAATTAATGCTTTCGAACTGTGGTGTTGGAGAAGACTCTTGGGAGTCCCTTGGACTGCAAGGAGATCTAAGCAGTCCATCCTAAAGGAAATAAATCCTGAATATTCATTGGAAACACTGATGATGAAGCTGAAGCTCCAATACTTTGGCTACCTGATGCAAAGAACTGATTCATTTGAGATGACCCTGATGCTGGGAAAGATTGAAGGCACGAGGAGAAGGGGATCACAGAGGATGAGATGGTTTGATGGCATCACTGACTCAATGGACATGAGTTTGAATAAACTCAAGGAGTTGTTGATAGACAGGGAGGCTTGGCATGCTGCAGTCATGGGGTCCCAAAGAGTTGTACAGAACTGAGCGACTGAACTGACTAAACTTAGATACTTCAATTAATTTCTTAGCCTTGCTTATCTTAACACCTCTCAAAAATCACTGTGGACAGTGACTGCAGCCATGAAATTAAAAGACACTTGTTTCTGGGAATAAAAGCAGTGATAAACCTAGACAGTGTAATAAAAAGCAGAGATATCACTTTGCCGACAAAGATCTGTATGGTCAAAACTATGGTTTTTCCAGTAATCGTGTATGGATGTGAGAGTTGGACCATAAAGAAGGCTGAGTACTGAAGAATTGATGCTTTTGAACTGTGGTATTGAAAAAGACTCTTGAGAGTCCCTTGGACAGCAAGGAGATCAAACTAGTCAATCCTAAAGGAAATCAGTCCTGAATATATCATTGGAAGGACTGATGTGAACCTGAAGCTCCAATACTTTGGCCATCTGATGCGAAGAGCCAACTCATTGGAAAAGACCCTGATGCTGGGAAAGATTGAGGGCAGGAGGAGAAGGGGACAACAGAGGATGAGATGGTTGGATGGCATCACCGACTCGATGGACATGAGTTTGGGTGGACTCCAGGAGTTGGTGATAGACAAGGAAGCCTGGCTGCTGTGGTTCATGGGGTCGCAAAGAGTCGGACACGACTAATCAACTGAACTGAACTGATTGATAAGGTTGTATAACTTTTATTCTATATTTTGTTAATGTGGTGTAGCACATTGATTATTTTGCAGATGTGAACCATCCTTGCATCACTGCTACAAATTTTACTTGATCACGGTGTGTGATCCATTTAATGTTTGTTGAATTCTGTTAAGGATTTTTTATGCCTATGTTAATCAAGTTTATTAGCCATGACTTATTCCTAATATTTCATTAAACTGTGAATATTTCCTTAAAATTTGTTTTATGTTTAAAACCTCTGTTTTCCTTAAACAATATGAATTTGTGCACTTTTTGAATTCTCAGTACCTCTAGCAGACTTTTTTCATCTTTATAGATCAAGACAAAGCTAATGAGATGCCTTGTAAATCCTACTCCTTTCAGTAATTTTAACCCTATCAGTTTCACTGCCACTAGCAAATTAAGAAAACATAAAGGGGAAATCAAATAATGTAGCTTTTAATTCTTCAGTATAACATATAAATAACTCTAAATGAAATCAGTTTTTAGCTACACAGCTTCTTACACTGACATACGTTATACAGACACATGGAGATCTTCATCATAAAAATTCTAGTGACTATAAATGCCAAACTCTTCACAGAGAACCATTTAAAAGTTCATCTGGGCCACTAATCCAATCTAGGGAGGAGGATATACCTTGGGTGGGGAAAACCCCATAACCATCCATGATTTGCTGTAGAACTTAAAACTCAAACTCCACCGAAATTTTTCTTACAGTCATAGTAGCTGAAAAAATTCTGCACAAATTCCTCCTGTTGCAGTGATATTAAAAGCAGCTAAAAACATTTCTAATAATGAAATGAAATCCAGACAGTGTTCTCATGCAGGCATATTAAAAAAAATATAGTATGCAATACAGAAGACAAACAAAACTGCACAAAAATATGTCAAAAGTAAAAAGGCTAGAATAAGTTAGAGGAAATGTGTTTTGATTTACCCTTTCATCTCCTTCTCCTCTTTCTGCTTCTTCTCTTTCTCCTTCTTCTCCTTCATCTCCTTTTCCTTCTTCTCCTTCCTCTCCTTCTCTTTCTTCTCCTCCTTCTCCTTCCTCTCCTTCTCCTCCTTCTCCTTCCTCTCCTTCTCTTTCTTCTCCTCCTTCTCCTTCTCCTCCTTCTCCTTCCTCTCCTTCTCTTTCTTCTCCTCCTTCTCCTTCTCTTCCTTCTCCTTCCTCTTCTTCTCCTTCCTCTCCTTCTCCCTCTCCTCCTTCTCTCTCATTTCCCTCTCTTCTTTCTCTTTTATTTCCTTCACCTTCTCTTTCATACCCTCCTCTTCCTTCTTCCCACTGAAAAGACATCTGTACAGGCATGTACAAACTACTATAACAGCAACAACTACAAGAAAAAAAGAAACAAATGACATATGATACTGAAAACTAACTACCAAGATTCCAAACCAAGCAGAAGAAATCAATGTTAGTTATGTTTATTTCTGACCATTTTCTAAGATCAGAAAATATTATTTTATTTAAGCCCATGTACATTTACATTGCATCTTGATTCTTCAGTATCTAAATCCAGCCCCCTGGAATCACTTGAACAGTCCACAGTAAGTTAGAGCCCTTACTTAATTTAGAAAATTATCCAAAGCATATTTGGGAAGGAGACTCACAGGACCAAAAGTCACAGTCATTTCCATGACCAATTGGAAAAACATGTATTATTTAGGGTTTGTTACTAAGAGGACATGTAGAATATAAAACAACATACAATCATCAACATAAGGCAGTGTATCATAAAAAAGGTCAGTATTAGTAGACTGTTGTACTGAAAAAACTATAGTAACTGAAAATCATTGAAAAAATAATGCACATCTCATCTTCATATTACATCATTATTTAAGTGGTATTAAAATTTGAGATACTTACTTGCAGTAAGAATAGCAAGAGCAATGATTCCTGCATCTGAGAAAAAATTTTAAAAGTTTTGAAGATATGGAACACATATGGATCCCAGATAGCAGCTATACTTTAATTTTGATCAGATCATCTAAGAACTACAGCAAAAATGTTTATCAATCTAGTTTGAGCATGACTGCTGAGTGCATCCCAGTCATTTTGATCACAGAACCCTTTTAAATAGATTCCAGGTACAGGATCCATCTTGTTACACTCTCAATAGGAACCCCCCTTTTCATTGTGTTGTGCTATAGCTACCAGACCAGGTTATTGAGCACAGCTTATTAGGGGCTTCCTAAGTGGCTCAGTGGTAAAGAATCTGTCTGCCAATGCAGGACATGCAAGAGATAGGGTTCAATCCCTGGGCTGGGAAGATCCCCTGGAGGAGGAAATGGCAACCCACTCCAGCATTCTGGTAGGCTTACAGTCCATGGGGTCACAATGAATTGGACTTGACTTAGTGATTGAGCACACAAGCACACCAAGACTACTGGAATTCACCAGATTAGAGAAAACTACCTACATGTGTCTATATATACCACTACTTAACATCTGTCATGGTATCTGCATTAATAAAATAATTGTAAATGTCAATTGCTACTATCTGTGACACATTGCTTCTTCCCTACCTACCAATGATTGAACCATGATGTTTCCATATAGAAATCTAAGGTTTCATAATGCAGGTTATTAATAATAAAAATAATACCTAAATCCTCAAAGTCTTCAAGTGATGGTATTTCTTCAATGGGATTGGGATATCCTAGGGAAAAAAAATTGGAAGTAAGTTAAAAGGAAGACTAAATAAATCTTAAAGATCTATAAATTCATTGCTGTTGGTTTTGTGCATTTTCATAATTCATAATTATAATTTTCCTTATAAATTATATGTATGTTTCTCATTCAAAGTTGCATCATTAAATATTATAAACTTTTATTTTTCCTTATATTATATTATTATATTCAATGCCATTAGCATTCCTCTTCTGGTCTGTTGATAGTCCTGTGACTAACTCTATGTTCAGCAAGCAAATTTATCATCAGCATACTCTTAAAATCAGCCTTGAATTCAGTGTGATTCTAGATAAAGGAGGGCTTAAAAGTGATTTAGAAATTGCTCTGGAGTAGACTCCTCAACATAATACTGGTCATTTATACAGTACTCATAGCTAACATCATACCCAATGTTGAACAACTAAAACTTTATTTTCAAGTCAAGAACAAGACAGAATTCCTGCATGTGCCACTTCAAGTCAGCATAATATTGGAAGTTTGGGTCACAGTTATTATGCAAAAAAGTAATTAAAAATATCCAGATGGGAAGGAAAAAATAAAATGATCTGTTTATAGATGACATGATCTTTCACATAGAAAGCTCTCTAAAGATAACACATACATTCACACAAATGCACACAGTGCTAGAACTAGTACATTAATTCTGCAAAGCTGAAGGATACAAAATCAACACACGAAACACAATTGTGTTTCTATACACTAACAATGAACAATCCAAAAAGGAAAGGAAACAAACAATTCAATTCACAATGGCATAAAAAATAATAAAATACTCAAATAAGTTTAACCAAGAAGATAAAAGACTTATACATTGAAAACTATTTAAAAAATGCTGAAAGAAAGTGAAGAAGATTTAAATAAATGAAGAAGATTTCAAAACTTACTAAAAAGCTACAATAATCAGGACAATACTGGCATACAGACAGACATACAGACCAATGGTATAGAATATAGGGCCCAGAAATAAACCCTTGCTTATATGGTCAAATGATTGTTCACAAGGGTGCTAAGAGCATTCAATGGGGAAAGGGTAGCTTTTTTCGACAAATGATTTTCAGAAAACTGGATATCCATATGCAAAGAATGAAATTTGACATCTGTGTTATACCATATACAAAAAGTAATTAAAAATGAATAAAAAAAAACAAAGGACACAGAACTATAAAACTCTTAGAAGAAAATAAAGAGGACAATTTCATAATATTGAACTGGAAACGATTTCTTAGATGTGACATCAAAAGCACATGTAACAAAGAGAAAAATAGATATATCAGACTATATCAAAACTAAAAACTTTTGTGTATCAAAGGACACTATTAATAAAGTGAAAAGCAACTCATAGAATGAGCAGAAACATCTGCAAATAATAAACATGATAAGGGATTAATATCCAAAATATACCATACACTTCTAAAACTCAACAATAACACCAACAAAAAGCCATTTTACAAATAGGCAAGAGACATGAATAGACATTTATCCAAAGAAGATATACAAATGGCCAAGTAGCACATGAAAAGCTGCTCATATTTGCTAATCATTAGGGAAATGCAAATAAAAGCCATGAGATACTACTTCACACCTGTTAACTAACAGATAATTCCGGTTGTTATAAAAACCAGAAATTAACATGTATTAGAAAAGAGGGCAAGAAATTAGAAACTTTTCACTGGTGGGAATGAAAATGGTGCAACCAATTTAAAACTTTTTTTTTTTTAAACGGAGGACAGTATTTTCAGTTCCTTTGAAAATTAAACAAGAATTAACATATAACCCAATAATTCCACTCCATGGTATATACCCAACCCCCAAAAATAAAAACAGGGACTCCAAACAGATACTTAGATGCCAATATTCTGAGAGGCATCATTTAGAATTGTAAAAAGGTAAAAACAACCCAGTATCTATTGACAGATGAAATTACAAATAAAATGTGGTATATACAAACACTGGAATATTTTCAGCCATAAAAGGAATAAAGTTCGGATATAAGGTGGATGAGCTTTGAAGACATTATGCTAAGAGAATTAACCCAGATACAAAAAGACACATGCAAAATTCTAATTAAATGAGGTATCTAGGTAAGTTAAACTCATAGATATAGAAAGCAGAATAGAGGTTACTGAAGGTGGGATGATGGTGGAGAAAGAAGCATTACTGCTCATAATGGGCATAACGTTTACTCTCAAGTGGTGAAAAGTTTTAGAGATAGTAGTGAAGGTTGTTCAACAATGTGAATACATTTAATGCCACTAAATTGGCTGAAGTGGTATGAAAAATTAAATAAAAGTTGATCTCAAAACACTTGGGGGAAAAGACAAGTTATTCAACAAATGGTGTCACTTTGCCATTGGATGGGGGTTGGGTGAAGTGAAGAGGGATCCAATCTCATTCCATATCATAATAGATTTCAGATGTACCAAAGAATGCAATCAGTATGCATGATTGATATGTTTATATAATTTTGGCATGGGGAAATCCTGAAGCTTTTATAAGAAAGACACAACACTCATAGCCATCAGACAAAAGATCCATACATCCAGTTACCTATTAGTATACAACTTTTGCACACATAAATGGCCTCTGATAAGAGAATAGTTAAATAAAATATAATGGTGCATATGAAAGTCATCATTTAAAAGGATAAGAATAACTCAAACTATAATTCCAATACAAGACATTAAGTAGAAAAATGCAAGTTTCAGAAAAATGTGAACAGTATGGTGTCATTTTTGCTTAAGAAAAAAAGAAACAGACACCAAATCAAATGTGTAGCTACACATGTAAGACCTTTGACATATAGAAATAGATACAAAGACACCTTAAACTATTTTTGTTCGTTTTTAGCTTTAATTTTTAAAATTTTCTTAAAATTATGAAAGGATAATAACACATTTTCAGGAGACCTGGCAAATACAGAACAAAGTTACATATAATTCTACTATATATTATAACTATTTTTAAGTAGATAAATTAAGATTTTTAGTTGGAGTTTCAATATCAAAATCTCAAAAGTTAACAGGATGATTAGACAGAAAAGTAGAAGGATATAGTAGACCTGAAAAGCACTATGAACCAGTTCAACGTAATTAAATTTATATAATTTTCACACAAAGGCAGGATACAAATTCTATTCAAGTTCCCATAAACTATAAACCCAGGAGACACTGGAACATATCCAATGACATAAAACAAGGTGAAAAATTTCATGGTTTAAAAGTATTGAAATCATACAGAGTCTATTATCTTATTATTGTGGAATTATGCTAGAAATCATTATCAAAAGATATTTGAAAATAACCTGCATAGTTTCAAGTGCAATGTGACATTTACCAAGAGAATTTTTTGACTTAGCCATTTGAAAGCCTCAGTGAAATTAAGACAAAAAACAAGAAGGCAATTGCAGAGAAGAAAGTATTTAAATGAGAAACTGATATCGAAATGAGAAATTAATTTCAAAGATACTTTAAAAAGCCAATCAATCTGGAAATGTTTACTTTTATATGAGGAAGACACCCTAAACTATTAAGAGTGATAATAGTAACAGGCTATAGAAAGATAAGAAGAACTCACCTTTTACTCTTGTATACATTGGCAATATTTAAAAACATATATTCATATATAAAACTAGTGACTAGTGGAAGTAAAGCAAAAAAAAAGAGAGAGAAAGAAAAAATAAACTAACAACCCTCGGAAAAAACTTCATATTAAAGGATTTTATAAGTCCAAATGAACAATAAAAAATATTTTAGAAACTTAATAGAAAAATGAACAAAAAACATGAATAAATGCAGACAATAAAAAGTTCAGTCTCACTGATAATTAAAGTAATGCAAAGTAAAATAAAACATATGATTTTGTACCCATATACAGCAACTTTTGCACCTTATAAAGCTCTTAACTAGAAGTAGGATAAAGAATTACTGAACCTGGATATTGTGAAAGTGGAGTCTTTGTTGGATGAGTCGGCCTGTAACCTGGAAAAATAAATTTGACTCCATTCACCAGACATATCAATACAAAATTATGAATTTAACTTTCATTTTTATTCTTTAAAAATTATATCTTAAATAAAACATAGACTCAGAACTTTGCACTTCTCATTCTGGGTTTAACCTAAATAAATATTTGCACAAGTACATAAGGATGTATGTATAACATGTTCACTACAACTGAGTATTTTATAATGAACAACCTAGTAGATAATTAACTAATAATAAACCATAAAATTTGTGTTATCTAAAAAAATCCAGGTAGAACCATATTCCATACTTCTTTTTCACTAAGGATGTCTTAGATATTTGTTCACAATTGCACATTTAGATCTGACTGGACACCATTAACTCAGATGACCATTATATCTACTACTGTCAGGGCAGGAATCCCTTAGAAGAAATGGAGTAGTCATCATAGTCAACAAGAGTCTGAAATGCAGTACTTGGATGCAATCTCAAAAACGACAGAATGATCTCCGTTTGTTTCCAAGGCAGACCATTCAACATCACGGTAATCCAAGTCTATGCCCCAACCAATAGTGCTGAAGAATCTAAAGTTGAATGGTTCTGTGAAAACCTACAAGACTTTCTAGAACGAACATCCCAAAAAGATGTCCTTTTCACTATAGGAAACTGGACTGCAAGAGTAGGAAGTCAAGAAACACCTGGAGTAACAGGCAAATTTGGCGTTGGAGTGCAGAATGAAGAAGGGCAAAGGCTAATAGAGTTCTACCAAGAGAACGCACTGGTCATAGCAAACACCCTCTTCCTACAAACAAGAGAAGACTCTACACATAGACATCACCAGATGCTCAACACTGAAATCAGACTGATTATATTCTTTGCAGCCAAAGATGGAGATGCTCTATACAGTCAGCAAAAACAAGAC